CTCTCTCTCTCAACATAATATTGTTTTCTATTGCATAACAAGAATGTGTTTCACATTTCTATCGCAAACGAATGGAGAGAGAGAGAGAATATTCATTTATTTTTACCCGACATAATCGATGGCCTGTTTGATCATGCTAATTTTACCGCAATCAACGTAATACTTGTCCAAATCATTAATAGCTCCCGAATTATTGGGTTTCCCAAAACCAATTGGTCTGAACCAAGAACTTGCAGACTTTTTATAGTATAGCATAATTTGTGTTGTAACCAGGTGTAATAATCACTGTTAACGTTAAAATTATTTGTTATAATCTTATACCCTTTACTAACAATATATGACTAATTATAGTTAACCCCAACTTATATTAACATAACATGATCTGTGAATAGCAGGTATGAATGCACTGTGATAGTAGAAATTACATTGCATTCAATTTACATTGAATGTGCACTGCGTGCACGGACTGCATTGTAATTTGTGCACTGGTGCTAGTTGTAGGTCTGAACACATAACACGAGCTGAAAATGTCTGTATAATTATAAAACATGTCGAACTGTTGCCGAACCGTATAATTAGCGCAAAACCCTTCGGCCAGGGTTTGGGCGGCCATTCGGTCAACAATATTAGTCCGATTGATACCCATATGGTGTATATACCGGTCCTTCAATACGTCCACTTTGTCCATACATATGGTTATGGCAGGCATTGAAATGAAGGTGATCGAGCTGGGTTGAATGGTTGTGGTCACTCTATACGAGAAGTATATGGTACAGATTGTGCTGATTTGGTACAGACACGCCGTCATACAAGCTATGTAAAATATGTACCTGATAGGTTTGCCAGTGTTACATGTTTCAACATAGTTAAACATTATTGTTAATATTTAATAGTGAATGTTTAAAGTGCTGGTTTATTTTATTAAGTTAGCTTGTGACTTTCTATGTGTATAATGTCTGTTTTAATGTAGTTTTTATTTAATATGCTGATTTGTTTTTGTTAAATTCAATAGTTATTTTACAATCAAGTAACAACAGGTGCATCTATTTTAATAATCTATTGAAATTTATGATGGATGATTTTTATTATAATATATTTATTTTATTAATTGATTTTTTAAATACTGTATGCTATTATCATCATTATATTGATTTATGCAATAAATATTACTTAATGACTAGTACCAAAATTACATTTTATAATTGATTTATGATTAAATTTGTTAATGTTTAACGATTTGATAAAAAATAACATGTTGGATAATAAATTATATTTTTATGCTATAGCTAATAAATGTTTTTATACTACATATCATATTAAATTCAAACATGATTAATAGTAAGTAAATTTAACATAGTTTTATTTTAGTACAAAACACAGGTATCAGCAAATAATAATAATAATAATTAAATTATTATGATATTTATTTAATACAAAATAAACATGCATATTATTTCTATCTCTGTAATTAATACTATTGATATTAATTAAATATGTTTCTTGTCTGGTTTTAGAAAATTGACCTTGGTAAGTTTTGTTTTATTATCTGGTTGTACATGCCTAATATAAATAAAATTATTAGATTTGGCTTTATCAATTAAATCTTTTTAACTTTTTAACTCATAATAAATTTTTAAGTGCCTGAGGCACAAGCCAATAGAGATCAAAATCCATTATGATTCAAATATGATTGGGAAATTTGAAAAATCAACCCAGCTCATTTGATGACCTTCTCATTAACAAAACTGGACAGTTTTCTTATTGGACAAATTGTAATAAAACTTTTATTAAACACACGTCATAATAAGCTCTGGCGACTTAAGGGTTAAACTTGAAAAGTTCACTTTATGTACACTAATGCATTAAATAATAAAAGAATTAATAATTATACTTCTTATAATTAAATTACAACGTATAATTAAATAAATAATTGATAATTTATATACAAGTAAATTCTTCATATTATTATGCTAAAATTATGAAGTAAAAATTGTTTAAAAATTTAATTAATAAAACGCCTAAAAATTTAAGATAGTTTAACTGTACAAATGCACTACATCATAAAACTTACATGATAATGATCAGGAGAGTAGATTGATAGATTGGGGGGAATTTTATAATGACGTGGTTATTGATTCACCTAGATATTAATAGTATTAATATATAATACCAATATATGAATAGTACATAAATTACAAAGCAGTGGTTCAATGCTGGATACCACCAGATACCAAAAATCTACTCTGTAGATAATGATAATATAAACAATTTTATTCTTCAAAATGATATAAATACAGTAAAATATACTTTTTAAAAATCTAGATCAGTTACATTCAAGCCTAATGTTAACCTTATAGAAAAATGTCAAATACAAACTCACTATTACTATGTATTAATATAGCATTAGTTTGCATCGCAACCAGTGTTGCCGTAGACACCGACACCGACCCGGAAACTGCCGGAACGGTTAGCGTACGTATAAAACACGGTGTAATTAACGGACGGCGACAGTCATACGAGGGCCGGGATGTGGACGTATGGCTGGGTATACCGTACGCCCAGCCGCCCATCGGTAAGCTCAGGTTTCGCAAGCCTTTACCTGTGCGACAGCCGTGGGAACAGCCCCTGGAGGCTACCCAATGGCCACCGGCGTGCTATCAAGTAAAAATTCATCAAGATTTCTACAACACCAACATGAGCGAGGACTGTTTATACTTGAATATATGGTCGCCCAGTGGGCACCCCCTGCAAGCCCAGGAACCCATACTAAAGCCGGTGATGCTTTGGATACACGGCGGGGGTCTGGCGTTTGGCTCGGCGTCCGAACACTTCTACGACGGCCGGGTATTGTCGGCGTTGGGCGACGTCGTGGTGGTCACCATAAACTACCGACTAGGGGTGTTTGGCATGATGTATACGGGTCAGGACGGTCCGGCACCGGGCAACATGATTTTCTGGGATCAATCGCTGGCCATGGAGTGGGTTCGCGACAATATCCGCTACTTTGGCGGCGATCCCCATAGGGTTACGCTGTTTGGCGAGTCAGCCGGCGGTGTGTCCGTTGGCCTACACCTGGTTTCGCCGGTCACCCGACACCTCTACCAGAACGCTATAGTGATGTCTGGCGCGCCGTTTATTGACCGTTTTCTGACAACCAGGGACGAACTAGAGGCTACGTGGGTTAGAGGTGTACGCCAGTTAGGTTGCCGTGACAACAATAATAATGAGCAAGATAAATTTACACCGGAATTGATACAGTGCCTTATCCGGCAACCGGCCGACAAGTTGGTCACCCTATACGGGCTATTGGGCGACAAAACCGGTAGTCTATTAAACATTATAATCGACGGCGAATTTTTGCCCCGCAATCCGCGCCATATGTTTTCGGACGGCGATTACAAACGCGGTGTAAATCTGATGATCGGAGGGGTGGAGGACGAGGGCTCTATGGTGTTAGGGATGGCTGATCCGCAACGGTATGACAAGTGGGCGCCGGCGCCCATCACTGGCGAACAAGTGTTGGCCGATTTCCGGGCGATTATACCATGGTTTACCACTGATGCCTCGCATATTGACACCGACTCTACTATAAAGCATTATTTCCACGGCCTAACCGACCCGAGTGCAATCCGGTGCCGCGCGGGTGTGGCCATTGGCGATCTGTTCCTCACCTGTCCGACCATTTTAATGGCCAAAGCCGTACACCGGGGCGACCCCACAGCCCGAGTATATCACTATCATTACACGGCCAAAATGGGTGACCCAAAGCTGTTTGCCAGCTCATGGATGACTGGTGCCGGTCATTTTGATGATATTTACCCTGTGTTTGGCGTACCATTGGTTGATGAGCACCGGTATGTCGACGGGGAGCGCCTGGTGTCAAGACAAATGATTGGTATATTTAGTGAGTTTGCATATAATGGAAGTCCCCGATCGCAAGGGGGCGCTGAATGGCACGCGTACTATACCGTTGGCGGCAATGTTATTGCCCCCTATTTTGAGATTACGGGTGACACACCTGTGGCTACTAATTATGGTAATAATTTAAAGGAGATTGAGTGCGAGGTTTTATGGAAAAGTGCCCTGGTTAATTAGTAGTGGTATTAATAGTTAGTTTTATGCTGTTGTTTTTGTAACCATAATTACCTTTTATGATTATTGCATTAAGGTTAAAGTTTTGAAAATAAAGTTATTGTAATAAAGTCTGGTATAAAAATTTATTTATTGTAATTTTCTAATGTCATTAACTTAATGATATTTTTGGTACCTTGTGCAAAAGTAATAAAATATTGAAAATAAAATTATTAAATTAAAAATGTTATTATATTTAATTTATTTAACTATTTTTAACATTTTGTGTCAATTTCTCTGCTAATAGGAAGAGACGCGCAAATATTATAAACATCTAAAATAAACGAAATATATAATTAAATATAAATTATATTAAATTAAATAATATTAATGATTGAATGAATGCCTACTTTTGCGGCAACACTTCTGGTGATAACGTATTGATTACTACACGAAAAGCCAATCAATTTGTTTCTATCACTCACTCGACACATACTATTCAATACCTATTTAAGGGCAGAAAATTAAAATACAAATATACAATGTATAGTAATTTTAATTAAAACATACCTTTAATTTAATAGAAATTTTTGCTTTATTACCGGGAAATAAATACAATTGACATAAATCTCGATAAGTATTAGAAATATCGTTATTAATATCGCTGGCAATTATATTGAGGGCCAATAAAAAAGCAAAACTAATTGTACAAAAACATCCGCAAAAGAGCTTGGTAATTGTAATCGTATTTTCAAACATCACAATTTGCGCCGAAACCGCGTTCATTGGTATTAATGTATAGCAAACAATGAAATAAATATTAGACCAAAACTTATTATACAACTCAATATCCAAACAAAGTTTGTTTTGTTTCACTAATATATCGGTCAGAAATCGTTGTCTCACTGATAATGTTTTGGCCTCAATATTAGACAAATAATTACCATAATCTTTAATACGATACCTAACGTAATAACAGACCAATAGATAATAATATAGGATCCATATAAATGTCTTACTAAAGGCCAAATACATTACATAATACAATAAACCACTGATAATGCCATAGACTATAATGTTATAACTTGAGAAATATATAATAATCACTAATACTGTGAGCAAAACGGATAATAAATCCCAACATTTAATGCAAAGTTTAGTTAATCGCATATAAACCCGCATTTTTCGCACATATCTCACGGCTAAACGTTTATTTATTAAACCAATCGATGAGAACTTTATGTAACCATTTATTGCCAATAGTATATCAAACCATTTATACGCTGTTAAACCAGTGCTAAAATTAATAACCAGGATGACCCAGATGGTACAATTAAGGCCCATTATGCAAGCCATATACAGTAACTCTTTAACCGGACACCAATACTGTATTATTTCAAAATATAAATACCCTAATCGTATGTTAGGTTTACTTTTGTATAGACACACAATGTAATGGATTAAACACATTATGGTTACAATTAATAATGTAAATATTTTGGTCCTTTGTTTAACTAGTTGTTTATTGGAAACAAATTTAGATTTATCATATTGATAAAATAGCCAATATTTATACAACGGATATTCAATATCGGTGGTTTTAATAGTATTATCCACTATATCATGAATATCATTCATTTTAATTTTAAAATTTTATCCAATATTTTATTTTTTTCAAATTTTATAGTTGCGATTGTAGAATTTTATTTGCATATGATAAGTTTTATTTTACTATTATTAATATTTACGAGTGCCAATGTTCATTTAGTCTAGTCATTTCTAATATTAACTTTAATTATGGTCAATAATATATTATTTTCAAAACGATATTAGTAAATTATTTATTGTTATTATAATACTGTGTTTTATCTACAATAATATTTTATTTATTGTAACGCACTATGTTTCTAAACTATTTACAAAAGTCTATTGAATATAAAGGTATATAATTAGTGCCATCATAAGTTTCTAAAAACAAAAATGACATACGTCTAAAATATACAGATACTGCATCATGTTATACAGTATACAGTATTACATTTAATAGCTTGTAATAAAACTTGTTGATAAATTTCACATTACAAGTATGTTTTTTACAGTTTCTCTTTTATAATGAAAAGTAATTATAATTGCTATAAAATAAATGAACTAAAACTCGCATTAATATAATATCTATATATGTTTTTAGCAATAAATACATTTGAATGTGATAATTAGT